AGAGCGGGTCCCCCCCGCAGCACCAGGCCCGGGCGGCTCTCGAGTGCCCTCGCATTCCAAAACCCACTCCAGGGCATAGCGGGTGGGCGGGTAACGGCGCTGTGTCGGGAGCCGGCTCTGCAGGGCGTTTGCCGCCTTTCTAATTTGGCCTGATGAGCCTTAACCGTGCCCCTTCTGCCCTCCCGTGTCCCCGTGCTGAATTAGTCTCGTGTTGTGCGGGGTTTAGACTTGTGCACGAATTGGTCTCTTGTCGGGTGGTTTTAACCATGCTTTAAATTAACTTCCTTGTCCGTATTAATGCCACTTGACAAGTAATAGCACGTGTGTCTGGTGGAGAGGGAGGTGTGGTGTGCAGTGTATAAATAATGTCTGTTGATAGGTGTTTTGTTAATCAACAGTGTAAAAACCATTGCCATGGGCCTCACCGACCTCATATGCACAACTGTCATAGCGGCCACGGGGACAAAGATCTGCCGGTGCTACCAGGACCCTATCCGATTGTTGCTGACCCTAGCACCTGTGATATTGTCAAGGCTACACAGTAAGTATATGCTCTGTGCGTGCAAAATGTTGAAATAGATGGGAGTGTCCTCAAACGTGAGCCAGGCTGGAGGTTTTTACAAAGAAGAATTTTACAGTTCCATTTTTTCCCCCTAGTAAAAGAAGAAAAGACATGTAAAGGTACTATTGTAAATATTTTTGTCATAAACAACGGTATCTCAACCAGGCTTGTTTTGTTAGGTAGAGAGTTCTACTCATCAGGGCTCAGCCCAACTCTTTTTGCAAGACTTCCATTGAATGTGCTGTAGAATTTGCTCAAGTAGTACCTGCTGGATGATGCTTACTGGGATTTCCTTTTTCTTTAGTATGTGGCTATCTCTCAGCTGGAGGATTCTTAACAAATGAACGTTAGGTAAATCGATGTGTCTTTTTCTCATTTAAGGTATGGAATAGTAGAGCGATGCAAAGAACTGGTAGAAGCAGGATATGACGTTCGACAACCAGACAAAGAAAATGTGACTCTTCTTCACTGGGCGGCGATTAACAACAGACAGGAGCTGGTTAAGTAAGCTCTGGAGTCCTCATGAAAGGAACACAAGTATTCTGCCACTGTTACTTATAATCGCTTCGTTGCTATTATACTTCAAAGCAAAGGGAACATGCTGCTTGAGAAGGAAAGCATAAAATTCAAATTTTAACCCAATTACCTTTGTGAAAATGTCACTGAAATGTAAAGTTGCCACGGTTTCTTTATATGTGAAGTCATGTAGTACATGAAATCATTAGATTTTCCTGGATTTGGTTTGTTTGGTTTAAGAAAGATTAAAGCTGATTTTGTAAGGTGCCTTGCTAGTTATTAGTTTTCCTTAAACATTTTCTCAAAACAGCACCCTCTACTGCAAAAATACTCTTGCCCATTTGCCTCTCTAGTGATTTTTTTTTTTTAATTATGAGCTATTTACTACTAGAACTAACTTATCCATAGCATAATGTTTTAATATTTTATAATATCTATTCTTAATCATATTGTGTTGCTGTTTTACAGATATTATATTTCCAAAGGTGCAATTGTGGATCAGCTAGGAGGAGATCTGAATTCAACTCCCCTTCACTGGGCCATTAGGTATGCTGCTTAAAACTACTAATTGTAAATGTGTTAGTAGGAACAGTTATATTTTGTGTAGCACAGCAGTGGTCATCTCAAATTCTGTGGTATGTTTATTTTTTTTAAGGTATAAGGAATTTTGCTGCATGTTGATAATAGTGTTGAAATCCGTTCTCTGATTCCTGGCAACTTTGCAGGCCACAAAGTTGTGTTATGTGGGTATCTGTGTTTTAGTCACTTGGACTCGCTCACATTTTGAACTTTCCCTAGGGATGAAACAGCACTGTTCAGGCTTTGCCTAAGTCCTGCCTTACTGGTCAGAGAAGACTTGGCTGTGTTGGGTCACTGAAGTTAGCTCTTGATGCTCATTAGGGCACAGTTAAAGTCTGAAAAAATTGTGGTCACAGTTCCCTCAGACTTCAGCCTGTCTAGCTAGTGTGCTTTCAGTTGTGTTAGCTTCTGCACTGTGTTCCCTTTGGTGCACTCTCGTTAAAACTCAGCACTGCCAATCCTGGGCTTTAAAGCACAAGCCTGTAGCAGTAGGACCAGTGTAAGACATCTTGTTGCTCAGAGGCATGTAGAGAGAGGTCTTTGACCTTCTCCCGGTGGCATTAGCTTTTCCTCTTGGGCTCGTTAGAGCTGCCACCACAAACATGCAGAGTCTCTTCCTGGGGGACAGTAGCTATGGATGCTTCCATATGTTTAATGCCTCTGGATCTGCTCTTTCTACATCTGTTCAACCTGATACAGTTTAAAATCATACAACTTCGGCTTCTAGGACAGGACTTGAGTAAAACAATCAAAAGAACAAAGCACTGCTTGTCTAGAAAAAACCATAACCTTCACTAATTATTCTGGGATAACTTCTCAGAGTGCAAATTCTCACATTGGAAGATCAGTGCTTTCTTCTGGGCTATCTTAGTCTTCTGCCAAACAAAGTTAGATACATCTGAGAAAAACTGCTCATAGGAGAAATTACTGTAGAATAACCATTGTATTCTAAATTAAGAGTTTGCCTTAGGCTGACTTATTAAGGTACATATTTACTATAATTTTCTGATGCAAACTTTTAATTTACAAAAACCCACAAGAATCTGAAAGGAAATTTTTTTTTGTGGGGTATCTATCAAAATTATGAAGGAAGTGCTTTCATTAAAATGTCCATCTTTTTGTCATCTCTATAGTTTCATTTCCTGTATTGTTACAGACAAGGACACCTACCTATGGTCATGTTACTGTTGAAATGTGGAGCAGATCCCAGTCTTATCGATGCGGAAGGATTCAGTAGCATTCATTTAGCAGTGCTTTTTCAACACATGCCCATTGTAGCTTACCTCCTATCAAAAGGCCAGGTATGTTGTTGATGTCCCAAGTATTGTTTTCCACTTAGGAGTAGCTGCCTGTGTGTATGATACATTTCAGAATTAACTGTTTTGTCTTCTAGATGATAAGCTACTATTTCCCTGTGCCGTAAGTCCAGAGAAACACAGATTTAATTTTTTTTAATGTTTTTGTCGTCCCCATGCATTCACATACAATTCAGAGTGTTTAAGGAGACTTGTTAGAGCTATGCAGATTTGTGGTGCTGTATAAATAACAACTGGCTTTTAAACCTGAGAAAAAAAACAGTATATGTAGTATATACATCATGAAGTATTTACTATTTGATTACAATTTCGTAACTAATAATTCGTGCAGAATAGATTATCAGACTAGGTCTGAATTTTTTGTTGGAAATTTCTGTATTTTCTGTAATTTTATATTGTATCCACTCTGGTAGATGTCTGCTTAGCTACATCTGAAGTAAGCAGAGTTAATGACAAGTGCAACAATCTGCTAAAAAAGATGAGAAGGGAGTTCTTATATGATCTAGACTGTCTCTTTGAAACACTGAGTGTTAAGATTTAAAGATTTGGTATAAGTTTATTTTCTTTCTGACAGTGCTCTCTCTAGTCCAGTAACTGACTTCTAGAATGTAGGTACAGATGGTATATATCACAAACTTAAAGTTTTTAGCCCAACTATTTCCTACTAAAAAAATCCAATAATGGTTCGTTGTTTTAATAAACCAGTTTTATGTACTTGGACATTCTGTTGTGTACCTCTGTTTACACAAGGAAGATGGTTAACATTGCTTTACAAGGTACATCTTATTTATATGTTTTTGAGCAAAAGAGGACAAGAAATATGATTAACATGGTTCCCTTAAAAATATCCTTAGTGGATACTTGGCATATTCTGAAAGGAATGACATACAAGACTCTTGGGGGGGGAATTACTTAAATGAGCGTTAGTATAATTTGGTTTCTTTCCACTACTGCAGTGAAGCTAAGCTGTTTTTATAGCTCCAAGTCTGACCATCTAACTCTTTTTCCCGAAATCACTGGTAATCACTTTCTTGTTACCTTTTTCTTACACTTAGAACATAGACACAACAGACTTCAATGGACAAACACCTTTAATGTTATCAGCACAAAAAGCAGTTGGGTAAGTAGTGAATAATTTAAGAAGAATCTATTTTACTGTACCCAAGAAGTGGTGAATTCTTTTTTTTTATGACATTTTTTGTTAGATTGACATTCTTTTCCCTTTTAGTTGTACTATACCATGCAGTATTCCAAAGATCAAGATTTATGAAGTAGCTAATTGGATATAGCAAAGAAAGTCAAAAGAATTTCTGAAAGAAGTTTAAGTTTGTGGCTGAACCATCTTCAGCATTACTGTGCTTTCCCGGAAATGAAAATAAATGGAGGCGGATGCAGTAAAATGCATTTAGAATAAATAAAATGTGGAGATGTAAGCTTATACAGAGTGTTGTAGAAAGATATAATCTGTGTGTATACCTCGCATTTGTTAAAATGGTAAGATAACATAGTCTGGAGATAAAACCTCAGGGCAGGTCCTGAATTATAAACTTGGATCTACCATTGATGAGCTTGTTCTGAGACAAGGCATTGTGTGTCTGCTGTTATTTCATAGATAGGAACAGCGTTTTTTTATATCGTGTTCAGAAGTTTCATCTCCAGTATAGATTATCTTCTGTTTGTTAACTTTTATACTTTATTTTCATCTAGACCCGAACCCACGAGGTTTCTCTTAAAGTTTAACCCCTCTCTCAATGCTGTAGACAATGTTCAAAAGAATACTGCACTGCACTGGGCAATAACATCAGGAAATACCAGTGCAGTGGATCTGTTGCTGGAAGCTGGTGCTAGCCTGGACATAAAAAATCTCAAGGTACAACTTTTTTCCTGATATTTCATTCTGTGTGGCACAAGTGTGTAAAATGAATGTAAAGAAAAATCTCAGTCCTCTCCACTTTGAATATTCTTTGCCAATGGTGTTTGACTAAGAGCAGGTATTCTTAGTCTTTCCCAAAGGAATTAGCACCTTTCCTGTGGCGTGGTTCAAAATATGAATGCAGAGATTCTTTACAACGTTCATTTAATGAACAGCCATGCCTTCTGGTCACTTTGAATAAGATTGTGTCCTTTGCGCAGTCTCCCCCTGCCCCACCCCTTTTTAAATTTTTTTTTTTTAAGTTGGCTGTTTCTACTTAAAAATGTTGTCATGAGGAGTAATGTCTTAGACCAGGTTTTTAAAAATAACAGTGTCTTGGTATCCAGTGAAACTCTTAAAGACTTTAAACAGATGTGTGTGTCATCCTGTGAAAACCAGTGTTTGACAATGCCTGTTTGTACTTTCAAAAGGGCTAGTCACATACGAAAGTATTTGTCCGAATATTTGTAAAAACCAACAGTGAGAAGTATAAATGTTGAAAATATCGATTCCTATGACTGTATAGATACGTTTGTACAGTGTAGTTATTCAGGGTTCGTGTATTGAGCTGTGCAGCTTTTCCACCTGTCTCTTTATTTTGTTTGCATTTGTGACTTAGGATATTGTTGTTTGGTTTTAAAAAGTTAAAATAACAAGAAACCTTCCCTTTCAGTAACATTCTAGCAGTCAGTTTGTCGTTTCAGCTTATTGGAGATAACTAAAATGGATGCAATCTGATTGCAAGTATCAGTTTTTAGAACTACAAAGCAGTGGATTAAGCATGTTAAAACTCTGAATTTAGCTTACCCTTGCCTTTTAAAAAAAAAAAAGGAGGGGGAGGTGGGAAGTAATTGCTCAGTTATTCTTGGTTTAGCTATATTTATTTCTTGCTTTGTTAAAAAGGAAAGCATTTATGTGTTAAGTGCATAAATAACCATTTCTGTTGTTAAAGGGAGAGACACCACTTGACCTGGCTTATCAAAGTCTGAATCGCTTCATGGTGTATATGGTAAAAGAGGAAGAAAGAATGAGAAGCAGACGAAATAACAAGTTACTGAAAATAATAGAGAAATATGAGGTAATTTTCTGAGTACTAACTACTGGAAATAAAGCTACAACATTTCATGTTTAGAATAATACGCAACTTAACTCTTTTCTAACAAGAGGATCTTCTAAGGTTTCTGAAATTGGGTGCACATAAAAAAAAATTCTTTAAAAGCATGTAGCAGTGATTTGGGTTGGGGCGGGGTCATGTTTTCCCCCCACCCCGATCTATTGATGTGTCACTTTGTCTTGTCTACCTTGAGTCTTTCGGCATTTGTTATTACACTAACTGAATACTTCTGAAGTAAGTCCTGCTTGAATACTTTGTCATATTTTAATAATAACAATTTTAATAGCTCTTCCTGCTCCTGGCATCTTCCTTGACGTGGATGTGGGCCATAGGATACGTAATGAACTTAAATTCTGATTCTTGGCTTTTGAAAGGAACCCTGCTTCTCTTCCTGCTATTTGGGATGGCTCTGTTTGTGAGGTTTGTGGCTTTTTCTCTGTGTATGTGTATTTAATTGTTATAGACAGCATATAAGGTATTTAATGCAGTATTCTTTTCAGAGTTTAGTTTCACTTAGCATAAAAGATACCTCTTGAGAAATGGTTGCAGCATGTGTGAAGGATTTAAATATATGTACTTTTTAGAATGACCACAGAAACTGAACGTCTTTAGGTGTGCAAAATAATAGTTTCTCATCACTCAAAGATTTGGGGAAAAAAAAAACAAAACCAAAAAACAACCCCAAATCACTGAAGTTTTTAAGCAGTCTATTAGCTAACTTTAATGATAAAGACAGCGTTATGGAAGGTCTGCATCTGGTAAACACTGAGATATCCATTCACAATGCTCAGAAATGTGCTTTATCTCAACTGTTCCTTCTGTATTTGTGACACAGAATGAGTTTTAATGAACCGTTCCCTCCCCTTCTGTTCCCCAGACCTCCCAGTCTTATCCTAAGCTGTTTCACAGGATTTCTCCTTTCTTCAACAGTTCCTGCAACAGTCGGTATTCACTGAAATGGCAATGCTATCAGTGTGCAAATAGACAGAGATCACACTTTTCACCCAGTGCTACAGCACTTCTGATATATAGTATTAGGTTGGAACAGAGCACTCTTCGGTATTACTCTTGCGTTGTTAACCCATGACGCATATGGCTAAAGAATGCTTTTGAGTGACAGTTCTTGATTGCTTTGAGAGACTTGAAGTATACTGTGTGTATGAAGTTTTTAAAATAACAAAACAGATAATTTGTACTCTATGGAATTTATGTTTTAAATATTTTTTTAAAAAAATAATTTTTTCTTCTAATATCCTTTCAGGCAATTTGTGGGGCTCAAGAACCTAAGGTATCTTCCCACAGCATTTCTGCTAAGTTCAGTTTTTTGGATGTCCGTGACCTGGTTTTTCTGGTTCCTGCCTGATATCCTTTATACTCAAGAAATGCAATAGAACTCTCCTTACAGTTCCTAACAAATCTAAGTCTGGTCATGCAAATAGTAATGAGCAGTCCCACGTAATTCCACGTAACTGTTAATGTCTGGTTACATTGGTTTACTTCCATTGGGCAGGGGTGAAATAACTTTGGGTATAATTCCAAATTATATACAGACTAAAAATCTGTACCTTCTTTTATCTCTAGCAGATACTTGTGTACAATTCTGAACTATTTCTTAGGTTACTGGAATGTCAAAATGAAGACATCTTTGTTATAAACCTAATTGTCTCTGTTAGCATCTCCATGTGACTCTTTAATCTTACTCATTGAGACTCTTATACAGTAATGTATGTTGGCATGTGCTATAACTGGATGACATGTGCATTAATAATAATAATGATTTTCAAAGCATCTCTTCTTTGTAAAATAACAAGACTTTGACTGTTAGTAGTATTCATACTTCTACTTTTAAAAACAACACCATCCCCCTGAAAAACCAAGGAACAGATTTCTTCTGTCCCTCTGAAATAGATCTTCTGGTCTCCTATTTGTCTTTATTCACAGGTTACACTGTATCCTCAGTGTACAGTGGATTACTTTCTACCTTTTACTTTCTTTGAAGAGGCTTTGCACTGATGAGTCCAAAAAACATTTTAGTAGTTTACACTTGCCTTCAGTGCCCTGCTCTTTTGTTACACAGGGAGCATCTTTATTTATTGATTAAGTTTTGTGAAAAAGCCTTTAGGGAGATACTTAGAACTGTAAATAATTTTGTACTAAACCAGCTATAGTATATTGCTACACAATTTTAATTAATTTTTAATTACTTCATCCTTTAAGTGGAATTTTCTTTTGTACTGTTCCCAATTAAGATGTCCTTAATAGAATTATCAGGATTAACTTCAATGAACTGATCAAGTCTATTCCCTCTGGGGATACACGCATATGCTTGTCTAAATGAAAATCATGTTACTCAGTGTTGCATTGTGAAGTTTTAAGGCTTTCTTGGTGTCGTCTAAATTAAAAGAAAAAAAAATTCCAACGATAGGGGTTTGAGTCAGACACTTTGCTGAAGATAGTGAGCACGGCAATATTCTTGAAGGTCTAACCATAGCTTGGTGAGATGGGCAAGTGGATAGTTTTCCATCTCACTATCCAGTCCTTTTTCTCATGAACATGTTTTCATTCTGGAACTGGTCACCGATTTGAGTGTTTAAAAAGTGTTCAGTATTTTAGTTACCCGTATTTATGTCTGTCAAACCGTTCCTCTAGACTGAGTGAAAATCCAGCCATTCTAATTAAGGATTTATCTCAGCTCCAAAAAACCCAATAGGAGTGCAAATAGACCAGCAGTATCCACAAGAAACGCACCCTTATTTTGAGTACTGTAAGTACACCCTGCACTTGCATTCTAACAAACACGGCTATAAGTCTGGTAATATACAGTGCCAACATTTCATAATTTATCATCTTGATTTTTAATTAGAGCTTATTACAGCATTGTTACCTCATAAGACAAACCAACCTTGAGGTTTCAGTACTTGATTTTTAAGAGTTACTCACAGGGTGCTGTTTATACAGTGGTTGAGCGGTCACTGGAGATGTAATCCAGGCTCAGGCTTTCTGACTGCCCCTTGGTGGCATCATGGACTGTTCTTTAGCAGCCTGAGCTCTCGAGTTCAATGCTAACCAATATGAAATTTGTCTCACTCCACATTCCTCTGCTGCTGTATAGAGACAGTTAATCTTAATACGTTTTTCTCTCCCTTTCACCTGTCATACAGATGTTTTTAGTCCTTGGTGTAAAAATTGTGTTCCTAGTGGCTGTATATCCTCCCTCATGTATAATAATAATTTGTGTGCTGGAGAAGTTGCAGCAAATAACTATATATATAAAGTACTGAATTTAAGTCTACTTCTCTGGAGTTCATGAGAGGTGAATTCCCTCCGTATATTGTCATTAAAACAGTCAGCCACTGGGTAAAAGCAAACAGTGTGCCGGAAGAAAAATGTCCAATTAGACCAGAAATTTGTCATTTCATCATCATGGATTGTCTAGCGTATTTTTGAGGGAAGAAAGGTTCCCAGTAGCTATCCCATTACCTTCAGAAGTGTTTAGCAGCGTGTGCTTGTTTTTTTGAGTGACAAAGGTAGTTCCAGGATGATTTCCAGTTGCATTTTTCTGTCTGAATTTATTAATCTGTTTCAGCTGAAACAAACAGCAGCGGGCAAGACCTAGAAAACAGTCTGAGTAAGAGCCTGTTCACTGACTTAGGGGTGTGTGCAGTAGTCAAACAAATCTCACAGCTGCTGGAAGTTTAATTACTATGTGTGTCTGATTGATAGTGTTTAAATAAAATAGAAAAATTTCAGAGGGAAAAGAGAAATTGGATTCATTTTATATCTGTTAAATATTCAAAGGCAAAAGTCTGCACTCTGCTGGTGAGGGTGACAGGGAGCTGTATGGTGACGCAGGCTTGTACAGTTGTCAAAGTCTTCTCCAGCGCTCAGACTGGACAGAATATTCAACTTCTCTGATATGATGGCCTCTGAAGGACAGAGAGGATCCTACTATAAAAGTGAAAGTAATTTTTTTTCCTTTTTGTGTGTTGCTTGTAAAATAACACAAACTAATTTTAGAATATTTTATTTGTTTGACAAATAGCGGTGATATGTGGTATAAAAATACGTTCCTTAACCTGAATACTACATGTAACAAATACAATTCTTGAAATCACTGTCATATTCAGTGTGGTGGGTTTTCTTTATTATTTCTATAAAACTTGGAGAACTGATCCTGGATATATTAAAACTTCAGAAAAAGAAAGAAAAGAGGTAGGTGATTTTGTAAAAACAAATGGAAGGGCTAACCTGGTGCAACACACATGTACTTTTGGTTGATTTGTTTGTCATCATGTGCAGCTTGGTTAAACTTGAAAACAGTGAAATAATCTTTGTTCTTTTAAGAGTTTTTAGCTGTGACATTGAACAACATAGATCATAGATGATTTTTCCTACTACTGCTTGTTTCCTCATCGTCATCGTCCTGCCATGATTTCCTTGCCTCCATCTTCTCATTGAAATGTGAGCTTTCGTCAAACGTGACGAACCCATACCACTGATGTTATCTGTGATATACATTCACATAGAACTTCACTGAATAAACAGAAATTTTATATGGTTTCCACTCCAGTTGTCTAAGGTTGGAAAGAGATGTTCACAGTGCTTTCCGACAATGCTCCATGTTCATAAGACATACCAGAGGCTAGAATTGGCTTGAGTTTTGTCACGTGCTTTGAAGACACGTACAATGTTTTGATTTTTGTGCTTAAGCATCATGTAAATCACATGCTATTTCCTAGCTCTTTTAGAATGCCAAAAAGAAATCATGGCCAACCAATCAATAGAGAGTAGCATTTTGGTCTCCCCAGCCTGTGGATTAAGGAAAGCTTTTTCTTTGTGATCTCCTTACTCTCCATGAGGTTGTATTTCTTCAGATTGCCAGGGAGAAAAACATGCAGTTTTAACTTGTTGCCACAGGACTAGTAAATGTTGTCTATCTAGTACTCATAAAGGAACAGTAAATATAGCAGCTTTCTTCATCTCTCTGAAGTCTGGCTGACTATATGAGAGGTACCTTATATCTTAATACCACCTCATTTTAAAATATATTTCATTCACATTATTCATTTTGGCAATGTAGAGATACTCTTCTGAATAATTCTGCATGGGTGAAGTCTTTGATGTATTGTGTTTCTCATGGACCTTGTTTAATAGCAAATACGTATTCTTATCTGTGCTTGGTGCTCAAAATGCTTATGAACTGCAAAAGGCCTGATGTAAAAATTTTCATAGATGTCCCTGAAAATGTGATCCAAATGCAAGCGCAAACTACTTTGTCTTTCAGAACATTGTAGCTCTTGCAGAAGCAGGTTGCTTGGACTTCAGAACATTTTGCACATCGTGTCTTGTAAGTGAGGCTTTGGTATTTCTTTTCTTTTTGAACCTACTTTTACTCAATACTGCTATAAAAAAATTCTTCCTCATTGCTTGTCATGCAAGTGTTACATGCACGGTTTGTTCTATGTTACTTAGATTTCTTTTTTTCTTTTATAGTGACAAAAGAGGTGCTTTGAGATCCTTGGACTCTAATCTTAATAATTATTTCCATTTTTTTTGGTTAAGTTAAGATGTATAGTTCTCATCTATGTTCTGTATTGTGAGTTCTGTTATACAGTAATTGTATAAAATGTGGTGGTGCCCATGAGATGATGCTCTAAACTTTGAGGAAAATAGATGCTTTTGCTATGACTGTGTCCTTTTCCTTCATCCTCACCTAGGTAAGGAAGCCTTTGAGATCTGTGCATTGCCTTGCTTGTGATTCATGTGTAGCCAGATACGATCAGCATTCTCTGTGGATTGGACAGTGCATAGGTGAGAGTGGTTTTTTTATCTAATTTGAAAATACCACATATTTTAAAAGTTGCAGAAATAACACATATCTCCTTAGAGAGATACCTGATACAAGAATACACAGTTGATACTGAAGTGCTTACTGATCAGTGCCAGAGGGAAATTAGTTAGGTAGCAGAGAGAAAGTCAGCTAAAATTATTAAAGGGATGGAGAGGTCACCCTAAGAGTAGACACCAAAAAGACCGGGACTCTTTCCTTTGAGAGAAGAAGGAACAGGGGATATGATTGAGACTTAAAAAAAAAAAAAGCAAAAAAAAAAAGCAGTGAAGATGGTGGCTAAAGCGAATGCAGAAGTGTTATTTGCCAAGCACATCACACTAGAACTAGGGGAGGCTCAGTGAGAATAGCAACTGGATTGCAAGTTGGTAAAGAAAAAATGTCTTTACATGACAGGTGGTGAAATTTTGGAGCTTGCTGCTGTAAGGGTTTGCAGATACAGGCAGTACCCAAAGGCTCAGGAAAGGATTAGACAAATTTTTGGACAATGTGTCCAAAAGTAGATATGAAAAAAACTAGACAAGTACGCACACTCTGACATTTTAATGCGGTAGCTGTGGATGAGGAGAATGAACTCTAGAAAGTGGCCAGGCTCGTGTGTCCTCCTGAACTAATGCTGCCTATCATCGCTGTTAGAGACTGTAAAGTGGAGCAGCTGGACCACAGAGATAACCCCATAGGGTGGATTTTACTTTCTTGTGTTCTTAGAGAAATTCCCTTTCTTCCTTTCTGTCTCACTACTGGTGATGCTCAAGATAGAAAGGTTAGAGCTTTATATCTGTAGCAATATACTTTTAGCATATTCTTTTGCCAGTAGCTTTTTAATAATGTTAAATACTTTGAAATGCTTTTACAGTGTTTGCTATTTTCAAGGTGGTGAGACATCCTTCTGGTGCATTGTTTCAAAGCTTTGAGCAATACTGATTGTAATTTAAAGAATAAATAACTGTATATTTTCATGTAACAGTTTCTCTGACGGAAGTCTGTTTCTATGCATGTGGTTGTGATTCTGAAGCACACAGAGGTCAAACAAATAAATTGAATAGAAATAGCTTAGATTTTTCAGTCATATCGGACAATTGTACTGTGCATGAGGAGAGTTATGGTTGCATAATTAGTCCTCATCTAGCTAAAACAGCTGAAGGCATGCTCTGAAGAAGAGACAAATCCTGGCTGACTTTATCAGAACTAATTCTGTTGTATAAATGCAGATGGCTTACAGGAGAAAGTTAAGAAAGAGTTCGGCCTTGTCAAACTCTTCTGAGGATGGCAGAGGGTAGTAATAAGAAGTGGGTTTGATTCTTTTTATGCCTTTTA